GTAGTTGAAATTTTGGTCAGGAATATGAAATATTTATATTATTACTTTTGAACAGAAATGCCATGCACTAATTCTTAAACATTAAATTTATCTTCACTAATATAAGTAGCCATTATTTAATAAAAAAAAATATTAACATTGTAAAACATTATAATAACATATGTTTTTTTTTTTAAATAATGCCCTTATTACGTTAGAGTTACAATGCTTTTTTAAGTATTTTAAGTTATTCACGTATTCTGACATAATCATAATATCAAATATTTCTTTTACTCAAAAAACATCTGTCATCCGAGTCTGACGAGAGGATTATCATGAGTTGGGGAAACAATAACTCTACACCAGCCATAAATACTTTTGGGAAATTTTGTAATTAAATAATAGAAGATAATTTTGTTAATTTTAACACAATAGAATAGTATATTATTTATAATAAAAAGTAAATATGAATTATATTTATATTAATATATTATTTAGATCTTTAACTTTGACAATTTATTAAATTAAAATATATTTATTTAAAATAAAATTTTAACCCTCAAACAAACTCACGGGGCTTTATGCAATGCTAAAATAAATACCCTTAAACATGTATTAAAAACATTAATTAATTGACAAGTAAAACATGTAATTAATTAAGTTACATACTTAATTAAATGCTAACATAATAGGTGTTTTACACACTTATTATCTCCCAAGTTATAAGACATGCAACATGAGAGCTTTGGCTCAAATCTTGTAATGCTTATAAAATTCTCTTTTCCTTCATTCTTTCCGTTTGAAATCTTTTTCCAAGCTTATGTCAAAGTTCAACTCAACAAATTTTTTTTCTTAAATTAAGACAAATATTTTTTATTTTTAAAATTTCAAGATAAACTAATACAAACATATTAATTTAATGATAAAGTCATAAAACTAAACAGTATGAAAAATAAATTCAAAAAATTATGCAGACGGTACACTTTTTATTTATTTACTCGCCTAGTCGCCTTTCTGATTCTCGTTTTTTTTTTTTTTTAAATGCCCCCTTGCTTTCTATTTTTCATTTATAAATGTCACGTAATTTCATGCAAAACGATCTCACACTATTTATCAAAATTCTTAATTCAATCATATTCCAGATGTGTAAGCTTTTATCAACGATTCTTAAATTACTGCAACATAGTATGGATAAATGTTACAACAGCAATCAAATATTTTATAATTTAAATATTATATGTTACATCGACTAAATGTTATTATTTTTTAACGGCGTTGTTTATAGTTTTTTTTTTCCCTACCTATCCATAGGACTATCTTTCCATCCAACACTCTCTTTAGTGGAATGATAGCGGTCTTCGTCCCATATCTCAAATCATTAAAAAATATTTTATAACCTAAATTGTATTTTTTTATGTTACATTGAGAAATATTTTTTCCCATGAAATAAACTAAATCGGCAATTGACTACGTGCCATTTGTGAGTGAAATTTTTGCAGGCACATAATAAGAAGCAGAGCAGTGATAACTGATGTATCAAATCCCTTGTGTTGATAGACAGGTGTTGGTAAACTTTGTTGTCCACGTCCACTTTCTTCTTCCCATCAAACAAACAAGTTCGGGAGAGAGCAGAACAAAAGTCAATAATCTATGCAGCCTACAAGAAATCTCATGGCAATAGGTATACTGAAACTTGCTTAGAACATCTTTAGTGGATATAACTTAACAGTCAATACTATATTCCACCATTAGAAATTTAGAGGCTAATAAGTGAGAAAGAAATAGAGTGTCAAAGAAATTTTCCTCTCTAAGCAGCTAAATTTAATATACATATACAATTTTGCTACTGTAATTGATTATACGTTAAAAATAGAAATTGTATATAAAGTGGGCGTGGATGGACTAAAAGTGGAACATATGGCTGATATTTTGGCACCCATTTGAATTGGATTGGTGGATGAAATTGGGCATTGATGGGATGGGTGGAGCAGTCAATCAAAAATTTCAATCAAAGACACATGCCCTACCATCCTTTTACTTCGCCCCATTAATGCTGTCCCCTTTCTATTTTCTCCGCGGTGAAAGGTATCACACCCTGTTCACGTGCTGCTTCAAGTTATGAACTGCGTTCGCAACTCAACAATCCTTCAATATTTCTCACTTTTCGCCTCACATCCCCAATTTCACCATTTATAGTTCATGCTTGTTCATATTTTTATACCTTTAAATTTTAGTTAAATAAATATACATCGTTTTTATTATTATTTTAATAGATTTATCAAGTTTTATTTTTTTATATGAGATAATTTATTTACTCAGCCCTTTCGATTACTTTTATTTCAACATTAGACCTAGTTCATCCTACATAATTTAATAAGTAATCATTATTACGCATCCGGCACTTATTACAAAGAAATTATCATTTATTAATTAAAAAATAAGTATTAAGATAATTTTTGTAGATGCGATTTTCATTTAAATAAAAGTAAAATGTTAATATAAAATTTATACTAACATTCGATGTATTAGTATTATATATTAATATTTTTACTAATAAAAATATTTTTTGGTATAATATATTACATTGTCAGTATAAATATTTAAATTTTATACTAACACTTTTTTATTGGACAAAGACCATATCAATAAATGTTATTTTAACACTTTATATTTGTTGTTTGTTAGTAAATGATATATATATATATTTGTTAATGATGGCACGTACACATACCACAGGCATCACAGCCAAGAGTCATGAATATAATTATTGATTTATTCAACATATCTTCATATAATGTATGCTTATATTTATTTTATGTTTCTGACTGGAAAGCTATTATATATATAATACACAAAAACGTTAGTTATGCGATATAACTGACAATTAATTGGTTAATTAGATGATACATGTTATGTTGCGACTTGGTGATAAAGATTGTTACAGAGAAATTGTGCATACACAAATGACAAAACCTATACACATGCAGTGGAGATTTCTTTGTGTGTGTAGGAATTGAAACAGTTAAAGTTGAATGAGTTGAGTTGGATCAGAATAGAAAGCATGCAGTACTTTTGCATCGCTATCACAAACACAAACACAAACACAAACACAATCCCTTCGGTAATAACAAAGTGAGAGAGAGGGACACACAACTCTACTTGTACAGTTCTCCATGTCTACTTACTCTGTTCATATTACCACGCACTGCCACTTATAGTTTTGTGCGTTTTCTGTCTGTCTGAAATCGAAAGAGACTGTACCATCGCACACTCACTCTCACTTTTCGGTCTCTGTGCATTGCCAGACACACAAAGCAAATGGGGGAAGAAGGGTAAAACCATAAAGCCAACATCACATGCCTCATTCGTTAAGGTTCAGAATTCATTGCGTTCAATCTCCACTCATCTTTTTTTAAACTCAAGTAAATTTAAATTTTTTTATATATTCTTTCTTATCTGAGACTTTTTTTAAAACGAGACATTATATCCCTTACCAAACAAATTATAACAAATAATAATAACATGCCTTTGGACAATTTTTAATTTTAACGATTTATCTGCATTTTAAAAGAATTAACAACATATTTTTTTAATACACTCCTAATTATTTACTAAAATTTATTAGATAATAATAAATGTTAAAGAATAAGAAAGAATATGATATTTTTCAATAACTTAAAAGTGTGTTAATAAAAATCTGTTGCTAGGCTGTCTCTTTTAAAAATTAATTTTAAAGTGTTTTAACTATAAAACAAATAACCATTTAATAAGTCAAGTATATTGGTTTAATGACAATCAAAAGTTATTTTGTTTAATTTCAAAAGATATTTGAGAGGCATATTAAAAAATAATTATATACTATCTCACATACAATAATATTTTTTATATATATTTAAACAATAGAACTCATTTAATTGATAAAAAAGAGTAAATGATGATCCAAAAAATGAGCCACGTTCTTTACCATATATATTCTTTTGACTTCTTATTTACATTTTTCTTTTCTTGTATTGGGTAGATTATTGTTAGGCACGTGTATGTCAACTCTCTTGCGTGCATAACAAAATATTTTTTATTATGAACAGTTAATTAGTTTTGAAGAGAAGTGACGTGATAGATGCTAACTGATAACGTGTAAGAAAAATAACTTACATTTACATAAGTCGTGCCGAAAAAACTTGTACCAAAATCACTATTTCTACTCTCTGTTCTATGCTTTCTCATCTCTCTCCTCCGTTTCCACCCTATCAGTATCTTTATAATTTCTTTCATTCTACGCGCACCCACACACATCATCCATGCTTCCTCAATCCTCATCGCTCTATATTTTCCTTCTCTCTCGCTCTCTCATACAAAGCATACCAAAATAAAACCAATACACAGAACTAACACAATTTGATCTGAGTAATAAATTTTTTGACATCATTGAAACAAAATTTTGAATTTGAATTATTATATATGTAAAATTTTTAAAAATAAACTTCGTCTGGGTGTGCGACTTAGATTGGATTTGGATTAAATAAAATAGAAAAAAAATACACAAAACAGAGAATTATACCTTTTTTTACCTACATTTCTTTACAATAATCTTTACATCAACAACAGAAAAAAAAAAACAATATGGCAAAAGAAAATAAAAATAAAATTATTAAACAAAATTATCTTACAAAAAATGTTATTCATTTTCCTATGCAAAACTACTCCTATATGAAAAAATACACACATATACACATGCATACACATACAAAACTGCTATTTATTTTAAAATTAATTTTGATAAAAAATTAAAACATTAATTAATAATTATAGTTTTTTCTTAACCCATATATATTTAAAACTTTTATTTTCCAACGTAAAAGACACAGACAAAGTTTGTGTTTATTTATGGGCTTTCTGGTCCCCAGCCCTACTTAGAAATTCTCAAACCTAAACTGAGAAGCCCTCCCTCTCTCCGTCACTTCTCTCTCACTCCCAGACCTTGTAACAATATCTACACTATCGATCTCGTCAACCCCATCACCATGCAGAAAACAATCTCTTTCTCCTGCGTATCCTCTTGCGGCAGTGAGAGTGGCTGCTTAGAAGCTGGTGAAGTTGATCACCCAGATTCCATCTCCCTCTCCCTTGCCCCTCCTGGCCAACCCAAATCCAAACACCCAAACCCAGACCCAAACCACTCGGATCATGATCACCACATAGTAAACCCTACCTCTCATGCCCATAGTGCTGTAACCGTTGCTCTTCACATTGGCCTTCCCACCACTGCTACCACACCTTCTTCCATTCCCAATATTCAGCCTCAATATTGGATCCCTACTCCTCAACAAATCCTTATTGGACCCACCCAGTTTTCTTGCACAGTCTGTAACAAAACCTTCAACCGTTTCAATAACATGCAGGTTAGTTAGTAACACCTCAAACCAAACTACCTAGCTAGTACATGTCAATTCTTAAGCATTTACAATAAATATATTATTTCGAATGCTTATGTATATATATAACATTTGACCATGCTCGAATATGATAGCATGAAAAATGCTTGATATATACCGATATCTTGTCTTTTGTTTATTTTTAAAACGTATCAAACATCCAATGGAACCTATTATATATTCTGTTTGGTCCCGACTTAGCATGTTCACCAAATATTACGACAGTAAGATTTTGTTGCACTTTATTTTTCTTTCATGAAAGAGCTTCTTCTAACACATTATTTACGTAGATGCACATGTGGGGACATGGATCGCAGTACAGGAAAGGACCTGAGTCATTGAGAGGGTCAAAGCCAGCTTCTTCGGTGCTGGGGCTTCCTTGCTATTGCTGTGCAGAGGGTTGCAAGAACAACATAAACTATCCAAGGGCAAGACCGCTGAAGGATTTCAGGACCCTTCAGACACACTACAAGAGGAAGCACGGAGGGAAGTCATTCGAGTGCAGAAAGTGTCTTAAGCCATTTGCAGTGAGAGGAGATTGGAGGACACACGAGAAGAATTGTGGGAAGCTTTGGTTCTGTGTCTGTGGTTCTGATTTCAAGCACAAGAGGTCCCTTAAAGATCATGTCCGTGCTTTCGGCAGTGGCCACGCTCCACACACCTTGGAGTCCTTGATTTGTGATAGAGAAAGAGGTCATGAAGACTACGTGGAGGAAGAAGAAGAAGACGGTGGAGATGATAACAGTGAAGTAGTTGCTGTTACTTTTTCAAATAACACAATGTAACTAAGATTTGTATTGATCCATTAGCGAAAGAACCTTTGTCTTCTGTGAAAGAAATAGAGTGCGAGACAAACAGTGAAATGAAAGGTAGGGGTCCTTGCATTAAAGGTTAGAAGTGGCAGTCTTATCAGATTAAAGGACGTTTTCTTTAGATGCTGCTTTTGCTGTGATAGATATTGAGAGAGAGAGCGTGTGTAACGTAATTAACAAACATGGAGAGTAATAAGATGAGAGAAGGGATATGCAGACAAGAGCAGTCACAGATTCTACTGTTCTTGACTCTGCATTTGCTTGTGCAGAGAGAGTGATAATGTGAAATAGTATGAGGAAAAAGAGTGAGGAAGGAGTAGGAGTTGCAGTGTAACGCTTTGATGAAGTGGTAGTGTCAGTGTGTGTAACGATGGACCACTGATACGATACGGTGCTGCTGTTTTTGGGGTTTCACCCAAAGACCTTTCTTTTGCCTTTTCAGACCAACTACTACACACATACTACCAAACATTTTCAGAACCTCTCTTTTCACAATTATTACCTCACTCTTTTAATAAACACCCCCTAGTATACTAGGGCTTCGAAAAAAGAAATTCACCGTATCCATTATTTAAGCTTAATTATGTTTTTAATTTAATTTATGCGTAGTTTTAGATTTTTTTGTTAATTAACAATTTTATTTTTAAAATTATGTTAATTTCGAGTTCTTTATTAACTTTGTTTTACTAGAAATTGTCAAAATATTTTTTATCTAAATATTTAAAAAGTTATGATAAATTTATTGTATAAAATGATATTAAATATTTAAAAATGATAAATTAATAAATATTTGCAAAATTTAAAGATATTTTTAATATCTGATATTAGGGAAAGATAGAAGATTTTATATATATATATATACTTTGATTGTAGGACTAAATTTGAGTGTTTAAGGTAAAAAAAAAAGTTGAAACAAAAGGACTAAAGTTGTGCAAATTTAAAAATAAAGAGAAATAATTAACTTAAAATATTAGAGAGATAACAATGGTACATATCTCAAACCATAGTAATTATGTTATTTAAATTATTAAAAAATGATATTGTATGTGATGTTATTTACAAATAAGTTTTATTTATTTATTTTATATCCACATATATTAAAAAATATTTTAAATATAAAAATACCTAAAAAGTATCCCCTAAAATGATATAAAAATAACCTTTCTAATCATAATAATTATAATACAAGGAAAATGTTAAACGGTAGGACATTCTTTTTTAAAAAAGACAGCGTGAATTTATTTTTTCTTCTAACAACTGTCTTTTTCCTCTTTAAAGCACTCATTTGTATCTAACCACAGGCATATGACACGACTCCGGTTTTGATTGATTAAAGATCCACCAAGACAATAACAACGATAACTATCATCATCATCATCATCAAATCAAGCATTCATCCAAGATATTTTATGGTTAGGGCATGTGCATGGCCCTTCTCAGCATTGTTCTTTGTTCGAGGCTTTCTTGTGCCTTTTACGTTGAAATCTAGTTGTTTTTCTTTTTCTTTCCCTCTTTCTTCTTTTTTTGATAAGATGAAAAGCATATTGAAATGAACCTTGTGGAAAGATTGCTAATGCGTACCTAGACAAGATAATTGAATAAGTAACCATGCATCGTGAATTGAAACAGTGCCTTTTTTTTTTTTTTTTTTCAGGGCCTTGAGCTTCCATCAAATAATACTGCTATTTATATGTCATTTTGTTTACATTATTTTTATACAAAAAATTCAACTTTAATTGAACGCTGCATGAATACTATTTAAAATTAAGAAAACGATTCAACATATTAATTTTAAGGTAAAAACTTAAGTGTAGTATTTTATCCTTATATTTCTGAATGCTTTTGATAACTTTTGAAGAAAAAGAAAGTGAAAGAGGAAAAAAAACTGCATCGAAAGATACTTTATCTTTCTTTTGAATTGGTAAAAAAATCCATCCCATATCATTTCACACAAATGGTGTTAGGCGTTAGCTTGGTGAATCTGTCTCGTCCCGAACCTACACCTCAAATGAATTATTTTCCCAGGCAAATATTTTATATTGAAATTGATAATATGTAAGGTTTTTATGAATTTAATTTACACATTAATCAATACGAAAAAGCACCCTGCAATGAACGAAAAAAGTATATAAATTACTAAAGCTTTCTTACATCACCCTTTTGAAAGGGAAATGCTGTTCTGCGAGTGTTTATATGTATACTTCAATATTTTATTGGTTTTTTAAAAAGGAGAACACCTAGCTATAATCAATTTATTTGTTTATATATATATTCTTTCAATTACTTTTGTTATCAAATGGTTGGATCAAGTCAGTGGCTTGTTGTCATTCCTACGCTATTCAACGTTCTAATTATATTCCTATGAGAAACTAAAAAAGTAACATTTTGAATCGCATATTACAATTTTATCTGAATTAAATAAAATTATCTCGTATAAAAAGTACACATAATTTAGAGAAAAATATAAAGCAACATTTTGCATTTATTCTCGTCAATCACTAATCTCACCCTTCATTTTATTTTTATATTGGATTTGGATTTGGCTCTAGGAGGAAAGGGTACGTGTAGAGAGAGAAGCAACAGGGATGTTCTCCTTATTTAAATAGAGGAAGAAAATATAGATAATACACTATTGTACTTATAGGTAGAAGTGGTGAGATCGAGAGGTAAAATAGAATTTAATTAATACACTATTGTACTTATATCAGTCTTAATTTTTTTATTTTTAAATTAATATTTTTTATATACTTATAATTTTTAATAAAATTTAATTAATAATTAAAATGTATTAAAGAGAACGTGTTACTAGCTTTCTTCTTTAGCTTATAATTAATGATATTTTTTACGCAACAAGCTTTTTTCGTTTAGGTTCAGACAAAGATCCAACTGGGCTTTGGGGGAAGGAGGAATGAGGATAAATTTATTAAAGGCCGAGAGGCCCAAAGTATATTACCGCACTTATTTCCTGTTTGACAAGGCCCAATTTCTTCAAGCCCAAACGTTTTACTTTGACAAGAGAAAAACGAAAGAGCAAGTTTAAACGCTACAGGAATTCATGGGAAGATTTTTCCATCTTTCTGAAGTACATTTTCATTTTTTATATCCAAATATCTTTCAGTGTTGGTCAGTTTTATTTTCTAATAATTTTTTTTCAAAATTAAAAATAAAAATGAAAGTTACCAATTAATAAGAACTATAACTGTAAGGGAGCAGGTGCTGTAGAATTGTGATAAACATACATAATAGTTTATAGCGATGTGCGATCAAATTGCAATCGGTTTTAATTTTTTTGAAGAGCGTAATCACATTTATTGCAACTATTTCAAGATGTAAACCTGTAACTTCAATTAATTGAGAGCTTTATGGGTCAAATAATCACAATAATGGATCCAGCTGACCCGGTTCGTTTACAAATCAAAACAACATGTAGAAATTTCTTCATGCAAACGTGTTGGCTTTTCTCATATGAAAATGAAAAATATACATAACGGGATATTTGGATTGATGTTATATTCACTTTTAACATAAATTTATTTTAATATTATAAATTGTAGTTTCTCGTTAAATTACAGTTTAACGTGATTATTAAAGATTTTTAAACACACTATTAAAAAGCCCGAGTGTATGATATACTTGATATTAACCCTCGTTTCTTAGAGTGAATTCCACTTATATATTTAGAGTAAAAATTTGTGAAAAATGCTAATTAAAGGTGCTAGTTAAGAAAAAAAAATGCAAAAATTAGTAATTAAAGATGTTATTAAAAATATATTCATTATTGTTTTCAATTGGATTTTCACTTTAATGTTTAATAAATTTTTTATTTTTTAATCAATTCTCTTAAAGTATTTATAAGCAAGATTCAAAATATGTAAGCGACAGTTGTTTTAGTCTTCAATATTATAAAAGTTTTACTTTAATTCTCAATTTTATAAAAAAAATAATTTTTGTTATATTTTTTTATTATCATTTTATGTATATAAAAATAAAAGACTAAAATATACATTAATGTATAAAGTTAAAAAAAATAAAAATTATAAAAATGAGAAACTAAAGTAACCCTTCTGAAAAAGATATTTATTCCATATATTTACATAAGGATTAGCTAGGGACCTATAAGATACAAGAATATATTTTTTTATTCTATCTTATTTCTTATATTTATTGAATCTGCGTAATATAATAATACTGAATTAAAAATAAAGAAAATATGATAATATAATATATTAATTTAATATTTTTTATACATATTATTTAGATATAAAATAAAAATATATTTTATGTTAATTATTTCTATTATATTTTATTTAACTTTATAGTTTATCCTATTATATTCGGTGCCAGGTAAACGAAGCAACTACCCTTGAGTATGTCAATTCTTTTGAAACGTCCTATCTCCCAAGTTGATTTCTCAAAAGCCTTTCGTTTTGAAATTTTCAAATCAATTGTCATTATTAGAATTATATATATACTTTTTTGTGTTTAAGCATCATTTCACAAATACTATACGAGAAATACATAGCAATTGAAATAGGATGTTAATATAACGAAATTAAATATTTGTTTAAATAAACAATTTTTTTAAGTATTTGTTTTAACATGTTTTTATTATTTATAAATTTCTTACATAACTTTGATTATAAAATTTATTAAAATAAATTAAAAAATGATAAAATGAATTATAAATAATTCTTATGCATGAATTTTTCTAAATTTTATTGGTTAAGCATCAACATATTTTATTAAGACAAATTTAGAGTATAAGGAATACTCCAACTTGTTATAAGTCTAAAAGAAACTAATAATATATGTTAAGAAATTATTAATTCAATTCATATATAATTTTTTTAAAAATTTTACTATAAACCACCTTCAAGAATAATATTTAGTAAAATCAAATATTTCATTAGCATTTAATATACTATTATTGAAGATAATATTATTTTATTAAAATCATATTATTTATACTATTG